TATCTAGATAGAAAGAGACAGAGACAGATTATTCCCAAGCAATGCAATGATACCCTTGGTATTCATGATAGATTCTTGTTTATAAATACATGGACAACCTTTTTTTTCTTCCCTCTCTCTCTCCACAGGAAGCTGCTTCCCAAAATAGCACAAGTCACTGGACAGATTCTGCCACGTTTGCCACCAGGGCAGCCTCTGAAGAAGACAAATGGTCCACGCTTGGGCCTGGGGTAGGGCTCAGGAGAAACAGCACCTGGGCTCTGGAAGAGGCCAATGTTCCAACTTACACCTCACCTCTCTCAGGGGCCAACAAGACCACCGTCTCCACCCAGCGTCCGCAAGACCAGTGCTGGGAGACCTACGTTGGGCAGGTGCCTCCCTTTCTCCCTTATAAAGCCCTTCCATGTCCATTTCATCACTTAACCCCAAAACACAGATAGTAAAGAGCAGGATGAGGGCCCGAGCCCAGGCATCTGCTCCAAACTTAGTGCTCAGAACCACTCTGCCGTTCACCTTCGCTATATAATCTTGTCCAGAGAATCTCAACCCCAAGGTATTAGCCCATAATAGCACCTCGAGTAGTCTCCTGTGGTTCAGAAGCATAGGATTTTTTCCTGGTTTTGTGTAATGCTGGCCTCAGATGTCAAAATTCAAATTAACAAATATTTATTAAGCCCCCTTTGTGTACCAAAAATGAAGTCACCTTTGGAGGGGGCCCAGTGGCTCAAGCCATGGGAGTGAACAGAGAAGGGGGGGCCCTGAGGAAGAGGTGGAGGGTGGGAGGGGCAGGGCGTGGGGGCGTCCAAGGACACCTGTGTTTCAGGAGCTGCTGAAGCTCTCCATCATCGACATGCTCTTCACCGTGGCCAGCATTCTGCTCATAGACTTCTTCCGAGGACTTTTCGTTCGGTACTTAAGTGACTACTGGTGTTGGGACCTGGAAAGCAAGTTTGTAAGTAAGATGCTGTGTCCACTGGGGAGGTCCGTATGGCTAGATCCACCCTTTCCTGATGTCCATCCAGGGAAACTGATGTGGCCAGGAGAAAATTTGTGAAGGAACAGGGACAGGGTATACAAAGCTGAGTTTCCATTTCTTTCTTAAATCACTGTCTGCTGGGATGGCCACACGGACAGTGATCTCTGTATATCTGTGTGAGCAAAGAATTGGATGTGTGTGGCTGTAATGAACTGGTTTATGCAAAGAGTTTTGGAATGTTTTTTGATGCAGAAGTTCATTTTCTCTTGCAGCCCGAATACGGAGAATTCAAAATAGCAGAGAATGTGTTACACTTAGTCTACAACCAAGGAATGATTTGGTAGGTGTCAAAGCTTCTTCCTGCCTCTGCTTCCATCTAACTTGGGCTAAGATTTTAATTTACTTAGTCTGGACGGGACGTGACAGTAAAAAACACAGTCATAAGAATCCAGAAAAGACATAAACAGTTTCTAACTGAACTATTTCACATGTCTAGTCATTTTAGTAGTGGTTTTCTAAGCATTTTGCAGAAAAGAATGATGAAGGAAATGGTCCATTTTTAGGCCCTTAGCCCCCCACTCTCGCTCCCTCTTGCCTCTGTATTTTCACTTAGACACCGAGGCCAGGTGCACGGCCATCCCCTAGACTGACAGACCCATCCAAGGGGGAGGCCGGAAACATGGGATGCCTGCTCATTCAGGGCAACTCCCAGCCAAGGCAGTTCCTAAAGACACTAAAGTTGGAAAGAGATCATCCACTCCACGTGGATGTGCATCTGGGGGGGCACGGCAGGGAGCCCCTTAATCGTCCCTCCATCTCTGACTTGCCCTGCTAGACCGCCAATAGTGCTATTTGTTAACATACAAGCAAACAAAGGAAAAAGAAGAACCCTGGGTGTTCCAAACATTCAGAATTTAACGCAATCTCTCTTTCTAATCATTCAGTAAGATGTAGGGGGCATTGAGAGAGATTACATAATATTCCTTTACTCAAATTCTATATTCTTATAGTCCACTTATTTTGAAATGTGTTTTCACAAATACAGTATTAAAAATAATACATAATTGAAGTATAGTCCGTTACAATGTGTCAGTTTCTGGTGTACGGGGTAATGTTTCAGTCACACATATACATACATATATTCATTTTCACATTCTTTTTCATTGTAGGTTACTACGATATATTGAATATAGTTCCCTGTGCTATGCAGTAGAAACTTGTTATTTATCTGTTTTGTAGATAGCAGTTAGTGTCTGCAAATCTCGAACGTCATTAAATGAGCTAAAATGTGTGAAGATGTTTAGCACAAGGTCCAACAAAAGTAGCTGCTCTACACACGTTGATTAAACCTGAAAGTCAATAATTTATTAACGTCACCCTCACCATAGACACACTAGATCTAGAGCTTGCCAGATACCTAGCTATCCATTTATCCTATTCACCAAAAGAAGACCTTTCCTTCGCTAAGTGTGAAGAGCGAGACCAGCCGTTAGCACCCCTATGCTGAGAGGATATTTTAAAATAGGATCACTACTCATCTGCAGAAGTGACTCATCTGCAGAAGGTGGAGGATTGGGGTCCCGGGCGTTCGGGGGCTTCTCCAGTTCTTTAAGTGCAGAGTGTGCATCTCAAGCTCTCAGAATCAAGAGAGACTGGAGGAGAACGCACACTAACTGCCCTGCCCTGTGGTTTCAGGATGGGGGCCTTCTTCTCCCCCTGTCTCCCTGCGTTCAACGTGCTCAAGCTGATAGGGCTCATGTACCTGCGGAGCTGGGCTGTGCTGACCTGCAACGTACCCCACCAGCAAGTCTTCCGCGCCTCCAGGTCAGTGAGCGTAAATCTGCTGCCCAGAGAGACCTTCCATCACCCACATTCGCCTTATGCAGGGCACCCTCCAGCCAGGGGGTCTCCCCAGCTCTCTGCCTGCCCAGATCTTGTCTGCCCTCCAATTTCATTTCCTCCTTGAAGCCAAGGCCAGTGCCCCACCCTGGGAGTTAATTGTGACTCTCCTTAAGCTCGTGACATTTTGACTGCACTTTAGTGTGCAAATCACAAGTATTTGGCTTGATGAATATTCACAAACTGAACACACTCTGTCACCAGCCCCCAGCTCAAGAGCCAGACTGAGAACAGCCCCAGAAACCCTCCTTGTACTCAGTTCCAGTCGCTCCCAATCTAACAGCATCATCATTTCAGCCAGTTTTTAATTCTATGTAAACAGAATCACGCTCAGCATGAGCTCCTCGGTTTCTGCCTTCTTTCCTTCGATACTGTGCCTGTGAGATCACCTCACTGAGGGCGCGTACCCCAGTTTCTTCACCCATCCTCCTGTCAGCTGCAGTGAATAACGTGATCATTCTCAGGAGCGTCCTTTGTGGGCCGCATATCTAGACGTGCACTCGCTGGCTTGTGGACCACGCGTGCAGTCACCTTCAGTCCACAGTGCCAACCAGTTTTCCAAAGCAGTGACGCCCTTTGCACTCCCACCAGCGTCATCTGAGTGTCCCAGTTGTCCCACAACCTTGTCAACACTTTGTTCTTCTCTGCCGTTTTCATTTTGGCCATTTTTTTGGCCATAACGTATTTTCAACACCTTGATTGAAAGTCATTTATTTAATTTTGACATAATCGTTCTTTATGTGGGTGTGTATCAGTGGCTTTCAGACTTCGTGATGATAGCCAGCATGACAGTGTCTGTATATTTTACCTAGTGACCAGTACACAGAGATACATACATTCATATGTGTATATTTTGTATATAATTTGTATAGCATGTGTATAACCACTTATATGTGTGTTTGCATATATAAATACATGCATACATATATACATAGTAAAAATGCATACATAAAAACATGTATGAATGGATACACACACATACATAGTATCTATATACTTAGTATATATACATAGAGAGAGAATGTGTGTATAGAGAGAGAAAGTTTTCACAAATTGACAGTCACCTACTCCCTACATCCTATGTGCCCTTATATTTTTCTGTTCCCTTTAGTCCAGTCTATTTCATTAGAGACAGAGGGACAGAGAGTGCTGGCTGAGATCCTCCAGGTTGACAGACCACCCATTCTATTTGCGGAACCGTGTACAGGGCCTTGAACACAGGGGAGGCCGGGGCAGCCAAGCCCCCTGACACTGAGGGCCCGGGGCCCAGGGCTTGATCAGGCAGGGCATTTACCCCCTGCAGCCAGGAGCAGAGAGGAAAGAGGTGGACAGAGACATCCAAGTGAGGGAGTCAAGAGCTGTAACGAAGGTGACGAGCCATCCTCAGACATAGGGGACAAGTTCAAGGCTGGGAGCAGGAGAGGGAACCACTAGGTAAGGATTCGGGTGGGTGGGGCAGAGATTCTAAGGTTTTCCCCTGAATTATGCTTCTTGCGTGATGGCCACAGGTTCACCCCTCTCTTGGTTTGAGGTGACAGGTGCTCAGCAAGTGCTTAGTAGACAGACAGGTTGGGCTGTATGGCCTATGAAGTCCCTCTGGGCGCCGATTTCTGGTTGGCTAAGCTGCCCATGATCTTACAACAGACCCTTTCCTTGGCAGCGATGCAGGGATTTTTCTGCTTGCAAAGCGTCAGGGCTGCAATTTCTGTGTCAGTCTTTGGAAGGAGGGGTGCATATGCATCATCGGCCACTGGCCATGGAGCGAACCTGGCGCATGGCACTTGATTTCTTTACAGATCCAACAACTTCTACCTGGCGATGCTCCTATTCATGCTCTTCCTGTGCATGCTGCCAACCATTTTTGCTATTGTGCGCTACAAGCCCTCTCTAAACTGCGGGCCATTCAGGTGAGTTATTTCGGTTCTGTCAGCTCTGCCTGGAGCTGCTGATGACTCGGGGAAGGACCCCGGCCTTGAACTGAATTCTCCTTCTGGCTCACAGCCTAGATCAACAGCAGAGAAAAAAATTTCAAACTTGTATCTTGTATTTTTGAATTTTTTATTGAAGTACAGTTGATTTACAGTGTCGTGTTTGTTTCTGGCGTACAGCATAATGGTTCAGTCATACATGCATATGTACATGTTCTTTTTCATATTTTTTTCATTATAGATTACACGATATTCAATATAGACTCATGTCTTTTGAATCCAAGACCAGTGCCCTTTCCTTGCTAAGGAGGCTGCTCTCAAGTATGATCATCTCTGTGCTCATCTTTAAAAGACACAGCGCACTTAGAATCAACAAGGGAAGCGACATAGTTCCAGTGCTAGAAATAAATTCTGCCTGATCCATCTTCCCTGCCAGAACTCAGAGAGCTTCTATTAAAAGACAGTCCACATCACCTTTGATTCTGCATTATCTAACTGCGCCAAGACAGGAATCCCTGGAGTTATCTCCACCAAGCTAGCATTTGCTTTAAGTCAGTTTTGATACATATCTGTAACATTTGGAGTTTATCTTTGTGTACATTACTCACACACACACACACACACACCATGGGATCATTGACCCCCTCCTCAAACCTACATGTTAATTAAGTGACTAGTTCAGATGCAGTCATCTTAGGAATGTTGCATGTCTTTCACATTCATCAGATATTTACTCCAGCTTTGTAGCTGACCTGGAGGATTGGATTCTAGCCAGCTAGCCTTTTTTTTTTTTTTGATGCCTTACAGGATCCTTCTGCCAAAAAGCAATATAATCTGGAATGATGGTTTTCTTTCTGACAGCGGCCAAGAAAAAATTTATGACATCGTGTCAGAGACGATCAACAAGGACTTTCCCGCGTGGTTTGGCTCTGTGGTGGGGTACGTCAGCAGCCCTGTGGTCATCCTGCCGGCCGTGCTGCTGCTCTTGTGAGTAACTTTCCTGCCAGCGTTGGGGGTACTTCTGCGTGTTTGGCCAACAAGAAAGCGCTGCTTTCCAATAATCGCATAAAGATCAGTGAGTTCATTCAGAAGTCACTTATGGAGCCTGGTGACCTAAGCAGGGCCGTGGAGTCACACCAGGGCCAAGGGGGTGCGACATGACTGATTCACCACCAGCATTTGGGCAATTGCCATGGCCACTGTCATGGGGTTGAATGCTTCTACCATTATCTCATTTTCCAGAAGTTTAATATCAAAAAGGAATTTTACAGTACAGCTGAGTAGCATCCGTTTGTTTTAACTTAAAGGAAAAAGAGCAGCAAGCAGTAGATCCAATATTCCTAACATGACACACTGTAAGATGCTCTCCTGTCTTCACATCTTCCTTATCGCTATCGCCCGTGCAGAATTCCAGGTCAATGCAGGTGGCTTTGAAAAGCAGCCCCTTCCGAGTGTTCCCCAGCTTGAGAACTCACAGATACCTTTTGTCCTTGGGGGACAGTAGATGGTTCGTGGGCAGCCCACCTCTGGCAGGGAACGTGGCTTTTCAGTTGGATGAAGTACCCTCACTGTCCCATGCTGTTCCGTCCTAGCATGCTCATCTATTACCTTCAGAGCATCGCAAGGTCCTTGAAGCTCAGCAACCACCAGCTCAGAATGCAGATCCAAAACGTAAGTATTGTGTGACCTTTGTGCTTGTGAATGTGAGTCAGCCATCTGACTGATTTCACCGGCCAGGGAATACAAATGAGGTCACATTTTCAAATTACCAGGACTCTTGGCCACTCGCTAGGGCACAAGGCTGCCCCTCCCCACCAGGTTGCCCAGAGCTGTTTGCAAGAATACCCTGGACAGCTCCCAGTGGCCAGGAAGGAGCCTGCCAAGGGCCTTCCCTCCTCTCCAAGACAACTTGCCGATGCCCTGAGCACTTCAGCACCCCTCTTGTGGCCACATCAAGCTTGCAAGGTGGTGGACTGTTCTCCTGCTGTACTGGACTGGGCGGTGGGGTGAAGGTCCCTCCTCAGTCCCGTGTCAATTTGGACATCTGAGTCCAAAGGCACTGTTTGGAACCAAAGGCACACATTTTTCATACCTTTTCAATTCTAGTTGTCATTACCTTCTCTCTCATCTGGGGCTCAAACCACAGATCTCTAGACAGTCAGAGGGAGACCAGCACTCCCCAGTTCCATCATATCTCCTCCTCTGCACAGCCAGATGCTCCCCTAGGTCCAGGACTAGGTGGAGGCAAATGTCAAATTGAGACGCACAAGCTCTCAGGGTCACACCGACCCTGCATTCTCACAGCCCCAAGAGTGAGCACCTCCTTGTATTTGACCCCAGTTACCCGACTGCTTCAACTCAGCCCCAGAACTTCATGCAAAAAATTTCCACCTTTCCCAGTTTAAAAAAAAATAATTCGCATGAATATCAATTCATGTGAAGAAACACCAACCCACTGCATCAATAGTCAAATAAGACATGCACTAGGGGTTGCAAAGGGCATTTTTAGGGAAATCTGCATCTCCTCCATGTGGTTGAGCCATATTTTCTCTTTTGTGTCTCAGGCAAACCATTCGTAGTGGAATTAAACATGGTCTATCAAAGAGCTGCCCCTAAAAATAAAGCTTGCCAGGGATAAAACTGCAGCGCTCAGGTGTCAGCATTGATTCATTCAAGTACCAGGCCTGAGTCCAGAGCACGCTGTCCCCAGGTGACAGCAGTAGCTCCGCCACGGCTCAGCGTCTGAGCATGATGCACACGTCATCCCCACCCCCAAGAACAGGATTTGTTACCCCTTCCTGCCAACCCCCAAACAAACGTATGATTATCATTTATGTTTTAGGCAAGATCTGAAGATAAGAAAAAGGTTGCCCAAATGGTAGAAGGTAAGTACAAACAAAACTTCCCACTGTCTCATTTAAAAATGCAGCAGTTTAAGGGACACCACCGGTAAAAAAATTCCTGAAGAACTGTGGTTTTCACGACTAACTAGACACAGTAAAGTAAAATCTAGGGATAGAAATGTTGATCTAAATCTATGATTTTTACATCCTGCCCAGGCCTGTGAACAACCCCAAACAAAATATGTCTGAAATCAGAAGGAAATGTTGAAGTAGGAGAGAAGCACAAAAACCTGGGGAAAACCCGTAAGAGCATCTCGGCCCTGTGCACTGTTGCACACTTCCTCTCAGTGGCCCACATCTTCCTGACAAGGCCCCCTCCCCAGGGTCTCTGTCCCTTGAGTCGTGTACTCTCTGGGCCGCGCCTGCAAAGCAAAGCCAGGTGGGCAGGTCCAGACGTGAAAAGAGATTCCCGAGTGAGAAACCCAAACCGAGCGGGCATGCCTTCTCCTCCCATCTTCTCCAGCTGCACCTGGACACACTCGTTCCCGTCCCATCGAAGGGAAAGGAAAGAGCCTCCCTGCACAAATAATGAAAATACGAGGAGCAAAAGGCTGGTGTGGGCTGAAGGGAGGACAGAGCGGGCAGGTGCAGCTGGAGGGAAGCAGGTGGGCCACTTGGGGCCACATACCGGTCCTGCTGTGAGCTGGAAGGACCGCTGGGCGGTGGGAAATGGCACAGTCCATGTTGTCCCCCGGAAGATGCAAGAGAATGAGATCCGAAAAGCCTCTGTGGGCCCACTCTGTGTGTCCGCCTTGATGCAGAGCCACGGGGGAGAGGTCTGACCCCTTCCAGGAAAACGCCTGAGTAAGAGGCAGGGGGCCTAAGGGTGGTGGTTGCCCCATCCACCTCCTCCGAGAACAGCCTGCAGGTGAGAACTGCTGGGGAGAGAGACTGCAGCTCCTCTGTGAAACTCCGCTGGAACTGTCAGGTCTTCTTTGCTAATGGAGCGTAACTCAGTTTAGCTCCACTTGTCTTCAAAAACTAAGGTTTCCATAAACTCTCAGGGTAGCTATAGCCTTGTCCAGTGTCCACTTACCAGCTCAAGACCACAATGTTTTTTCAGAACCGTTTCCAAAAAATCATAATTATCATCTAAGCTTAGCAGATAAAGAATCAGAGCCCCAAAGCTGGTGAGTAACCCACTCGGCCTCACGGGGGCATCAGATGGTGCGTCTGCAAGCTTCCGGGCACGTTGGCTTCCTCCTGCACAAACCTGCCAGCCCTGGCTCTCTGCGAAGCAATGATCTGAAGCATGGAGTGTTTGTCGCCCACGGGTTAGGTGTGCCTGCAAGTGCACACGGCTGCTCAGAGACGCCCGTTGGGAGTCAGGACGCCCTTGCAGCTGCACCAGCCTGAGTGTGTCTCGCCTTGGGCTTGCCTTCTCATCACCCTCCCTCTTCCTGCAGCTCGCATCCAAACCCAAGACGAGAGCGCCAAGAGGCTTCCAAAGGACAGCGATCTCGGCAGCCAGCTGTCCTCCGCTCACCCGGCGACTCCCCAGAACAACGGCAATGTGGTCAGTTTCGACTCATCAAGCAGCAAGAGTAGCAGGATAGAGACCGTCACCCACCCCGCGCCCCGGAGTCCCCGGCCAGGGCCCGGCAGTGCCACCTCGCCCCTCCCTGGCTTCTCCAAGTCCAGGCTGGAGCCCAGCACTACCAGGTGAGCTTACCTGCAGCTCAGCAGGAAACCTGCCTCCTGGGTGACACCTACCAGTGACGGCCCAGAGCCATAAAGCGCAGAATGAAAAGCCACCAGGGCTTCAAAGGTCATAACAGTTTCAGGAAGTGAGAGCCATTGAATTCCATTTCTGCCTGAAGGCCACAAGGTCAAGGGACTGCCACAGCTGACACTGAGAAGAAATGAAGGGGCGAAGTTCACCCAACAAGGCAAACTCTTCCTCCTCGGCCTCCTGCCGTCTTACCGTGAGCCCATCTTCCTGCCACCCTAGGGTATTTATTTCCATAACCCAAGAAAAGAGCATGCCTTAAAAACTCTTTTTGTCCTTTATTTTTTGCACTCCAGACTGGCCAGATATTGGCAAGATGATCTTTTAGCTCTAGGCTGCCAAGTAACTGGCAGGTTCACCTCCACATGACACGGGTCCGTTGCTTCCGTCGTACCTGCGTACGAGGAGGGCAGGGGAATCCTGCACTCCTTCCACGGAGGGAGGACATCCAGAAGGATGCGCTGACCCCAGCTCAGCTGGAGAGTTACATCTGATCTGAATGTAACACGGTGAAAGCAGTGTAGATAAAACATAAGGGGTTTGGGTTTTTTGGATTTTTCAAAAAGACAATGACTAAGTTAACAACGAATTTGAAGTCTTGCTACATGAGGAGTTCTTTTCTTGTATCTACTGGGCTTTGACAAGGAGGAGGGATTCCAATAGTCTTGGGTAGGTGTCAACTGAAAAAAAAATGCACAACCTAAAAGTTGAGAATTATGTTTTATTCAGTGGACTTACTAAGAACTATGGCCTGGGACACGGCCGCTCGGATAGCTCTGAGGGACTGTCCCAACGAGGTCAGGAAGGAGCCAGGATATACAGAAATTTTTTGCTGGGAAAAAAACCACAGAGTATAATATCAAAAGATTAATTACCACTAATCATAAAAAAAATCCTGACATCTCAAGTTAGTGGTTTTAGTGCTTGTCTGTGTATGGGAAGAGGCAAGAGTCTGGGCTCACTGCAGTCATTTTTTTGATATGCATCTTTACTCTCTAGGGCCAGTATCTTGTTTTTCTCTATCCTGAATTCCCGTCAGGGTGCACCGTCAGGGCTACTGCAGTGGCTGATGGCTTTCCATCCTTTGTTTACTGAAATGAACTGTGACATTCTTTGCCTACATAGGCTATGGGAGGAAGTGTCCTAGAAGCTGGACAGCTCCATGGCAGAGGTGACGAGGGGCAGTGTTCCCATTCTGTGCTACACATGACTAGTCCCACTGTGTGCTCCTGGACCAAAAAAAGGAGGGCTCCATAATAAATACATTAGCACAACACTCTTTGCCCTCCATGGAGGTTCACGGTGCACAGCGTCACACTAAGGCTCCTGAGAATTCCAGCAGGAAGGAAATCTGTTGAGCCCAGTCCTCCAAGTGCTCCTATGCATGGAATCCACCAGACACCCATGAACATTTTAGAACCAGCTGCAGTGAAAATGCAGTGAAAACTGCTGCCCTGGCTCGCTGTGCTGGGATGGCGCGGGGTTCTGAGAACACCCAGGCCCCAGATGCTTAACCACCTCTGTCTTTCAGGTATCCACGTGCAAGCACAGGTGAGCTTCACAGGAGCAGATCCTGCACACCTAGGACGTTTACAAAGCACATGGAAGATGTTTACTCAGAGCCTCTTTTCCAAAATGACATTCAGCAAATTAACCCTCCTTTTCCTGGATCCCGGGTCTCGGACTTGATGCCCCATGGTCGCAGGTCCCACGCCCCCAGATACTATATCGTTAATGAACGTGACTCTCACCAAAAAAACCGTTCAGCTTTCTGGCCCGAAAGACGCTTCAAGGTAGATGCTTTTGAGGACACAGTGGAGATGTACCCCAGGAACACACGACAGGGCGTGTCCCGGGCCTCCCGCCAGCCTCGCTCTCCACAGCTAAGTGAAGAAGAGGGTGAGGTTCTGAGGAGAGAGGTGTTCGAGCAGGCTTTCCACCCACGCTCCCTGACCGACCTCCACGGGGCTTCTCATTTTTATGTGGGCGAAAGTTTAGAAAGCCGGGCCCTGACCTCCGAGCCCCAGAGATGGACACATTACAAGTCTTGGAATGATGGTTTCGAGGGCCATCTTGACAGGCCGATGTACGTGCACAGAAAGCCACGCTCCCGGAATTTCCAGTACCCACAGCACCCTCTGAAGCCCAGAGTTAAGGCCAAGTTCGAGCCGTCCCTCACAGAATCCGACTCCATGTCAGCGGCGTCCAGCAGTGACCAGCAGAACAGCAGCGCTGACCAGTACCTCCAGGTCACCCGCAGCCACGGCAAGTTCCCGAGGTCCGCGGGCCAGCTCGGCAGGACGAAGGCCCTATCTCGGCAGGAGCTGACCGCGGATCTGCACGACCTGGTTTATTCAGACGTCTAGGGCCTTCTTCTGGAGTCCCGTTCGTAGAGATCAGAGTGCCATTAGAGTGCAGTGAGGTGTGACAGTGCACGGTCCCTCCCCTGCTGGAAACAGAGGTGAACACAGCCAGGAGCTGAGACCCCGGGGCCTTGCGCAGGCCGCTGGCCACGGCCCCAAGACTCACACGGCTACGACTCCCTGTTCTACACCAACCACATGCGAGTGGTCTGCGTCCAGCACCTTGGGCCCGTTAGGCCATCATTTCAAAAAACCTTAGTCTTTGACCTCCATTCAGGGTGATCACAAATCGTTGGCAAGCCAGACAGCTCATCTAGTTGTAGAAGCTTCACCCGAAGTGTGTGTGCTTGTCCTCAACCTCACAAGTGAACTGTATTGTGATGTTGTCTTTCAGCGAACAAAACTCAGCTCTCCCTGACAAGCACCCTGGAATGAGTGGGCCGCTCGTAAAGATTTCACAACGCTCAGTTGTTTCATATCAATAATCAGGTTAGTAATGTCAAGAGTAACTAAAATTTATTGAAAGCTTACCATACTGTTTATCCGGCTGTGTATCTGTATTAATTAGGACACCTGGGTTGGAGGCAACAAAATTCCCAAGGTTTCTTGGTTCCTTTAACTGGGAGGAGTGGGAATCAAGCTGGCTTCAGGCTCAGTTGGACCCAGGCGTCAACTATCTTCAGGATTCTGTCTTTTCAATCCTCAACTCTTTCTGTTTGTTGACCTTGTTTTTGCCTACTGCCCACAGGGTTCCCCCATGTGGTAGGTGGAGGAGGAGTGTACAGCCACAGAAAGTTCCATGTTGATGGCATCCAGGCAGTGAGCCCCAAGGAAAGAACCAGGGTTGTCCCCTCCCCACTTTTATCTTCACCCTCTTCCTTGCGCTTGGTCTCGGGCCGTGGCCGAGAACTCCCTGGGACATTGAAACGTATTTGGGAAAAGCCTGGCCCTGCTTCCAGACACCGGTAGCAGCACCTGCGTCTGTGTGAGAGCAGGGAGCCACTCCATCAGGATCAGAGACTCAGCAGGTCCTGCCGCATTCCTAAGAAAACCCGAGTCTCGCCAGTCCACGTCCAGGGCTGTGAGTATGTGTATCGCCTTTCAGTGAGCAACTCCAGCACTGAGTACTGGGCTGCACTTCAATGTAGAGAAATTTAAAAGAGGCAGAACAGCACAAGCGCCCGTGTCCCCACTGTGTCGGCAGCTGCTGAAGCTTTATTCCCATTTGGCCACTTTGCTATTACTATTAAAGGAGATGTTACAGCTGTCATCAAAATCTGCCCTAACCCCCAAACTTAGTTTCATTCCCCTCCTGCCACCAGGAGTTCAGCCTGGGTCCATTCAGCCAGCCGTGTATGTCGTATGCGTGCGTGTAAATATAGATGTATAAGATTCATCTACCGTACGTGAGGATGTCTTACTTAGGTAAATGCTGTCATGCTGCATGTATCATACATATTTTTGTTTTCGAGATCAGTTGAAGAAATATACAGATCCATCTCACAGCAGCTGTGTAGTATTTCATCATATGAATAAACGGTACCATATTGATCCATTTCTTACTGATGGACACTGAAGTCATTTCCACTTCTTTGCAGCTAAAAATAATGTTGCACTGAACATCTTTCACACAGCCTCTGCTGCCCGTGTGCTTGTGTCGACTTAGAAGCGGATACTGATCCTTTGAAAGGAGACCTCCCTGGCTCACGGGGGAGGAGCATGCTCAGCTTTCCTAGCTGATCCTTTATGAGTCTCCACTTGCCCAGACCCCACGCAGACTCCCTCTGCAGAGGATGGGGGGGCCATTTTTTTTCTTCCCAGCCTCCCCAGTACTTGATATTGCCGCACTATGTCATTTTTACCAACCTGATGAAAAAGATATATATGTTCCAAGTTGTTTGAGTTATTTTGCATTTGTTTGATTGGTAGCGTTTTCCCCTCTGTTGACTGGCCATTTGCATTTTTCTTCTCTGAGTTGGTTGTCTATTCAGCATTTTTGGTCATTTTTCTGTTGACAGGAGCCATCGCCTCTAGCCTTTATCAAGTTTCAGCAGCAGAAAGCTCTATATCTGCACCATCAAAATGCCTTTGCATAACTGTGAGTTCACAATACTCCTTTAGCGTTTAGGAATAGTCCATGGCGGGGGTGGGGGGACCGGGAGATGATTCACGTCTGCCTGGGGCTCCGACTCACTGGGGACTTGTTCCACAAGATTATTAAAAATCTCCCCTAAAAATACCTATATAACAGACTCCTCTCAGGTCTCAGGGATCAGAACAGTTGGTGTCCATTAAATATGAAGAGTGAGTCCTCTTGATAAGGACAGTCTGATACGCATCTAAGGATGATTCCCTTGGTCGCTCCTTATCTTTCTGAATTCGTGAATGTCAGGCAACTTGGAGAAAAGTTTTCTATGCACCTCTGCAAGGTTAGCTCCCTTGTCTGAGGTACTATTCCTGTTTTCCTGCTACTCTGCATTTGTGTTTCTTTTCTCTTTAGGGTGTGTAGGTTACTTTGTGTTGTGTGTGTGTGTGTGTGTGTGTGTGTGTGTGTGTGTGTTAATCTTTGCCCATTCCATTGTAAACACTGCACATCCTTATAGGAGATAAGAATCAGTAAAACATACGAGCAAACATGACCTTCAAGAATAGAAACTGGGTGTGGTGTGTGCCACAGCTGTGTCACTTGCTAGCTACGTGACCTTGGATACCCTACGTGGTCCTCAGTTTCTTAACCTATAAAATGGGGAGAGTTGTCTCTACTGCTGCCAAAAGATCGGCCCCCACCCCTGTGGAGCCGAACTGAAACTCAGAGACAGGGTCTTAGTGCGTAGAAGCAAAGAGGCAGCTTGATCGCTTTGCTGGGCAAAGGGGACTCACAGCAGGCTGGTGCCTTCAACACTGTGAGCCCTTCTTGGGGATGGGGCAGAGTGATTACATAGCCGTGGCTCAAACAATAAAGCATAACAATCAACAAAATTATTTTCTTCTCATAAGACTCAGTGGAGTCACAGTGTCTCCAGGTGACCAATTCAGTAGAGGCTAGTGGTTGTCGCTCTTTCGATCTCTTTATCTTGTAAGTGCCCGTGGCCTGGTCTTCTTGGTAATTCAAGCTATTTTGTAAGGTTACAGTCCCATGACCTCCCTGGAGAACAACTCAGAAAGCAACTATGATTATTGCTTTTGATTACTGGAATAAAGCAGAGACAATCAAATTAATAGCTTCATTTTAACAACGGGCCTGGAGCTGTGAATAGCAACCGGTCAGTCAGGTCAGCTGGCCAGTTTAAGAGCGAGCAGAAGAAGCAGCAGTCTGTTAGCCTAAGTGCGGCCATTTTATTAATTCTCCTTCACTGCCTCATGGCGTGCGTGGCGCTGTGAGGGTTAAACGGCACAGTACAGGGTAAGTGCATAGGACAGTGGGTGGCGAGCCGCACCTGCTGATGATCAGCTGTTGCTCAGTGAAGAATGAGTAAACACACACATGCTTGTCAAGTGTGCTCACCGAGCGCCTGCCGGAGCTAACGTAGGAAACACACATACAGTTCATCATCAGTGTCTCGGTAGAAAGCAAACACTCCATTTAGGAGCTTTTAGGATTGGAGCACTTGTGTAACCGGTCACAAGTTTGTACGCCCGACACACTAGGAGGTCGAACAAACCGAAAGGTCAGAGTTCGGAGCAGAGAAAAGTTTATTGCAGGGCCGAGCAAGGACGATGTGGTGGCTCATGCCCAAGAAAACCCTGAACTCCCCAGAGGGTTTCAGTAAAGGGCAGGTAAGGTGGGGGTAGCTCACAGGGTGCCTGATCAGCTGGTGAACAATTATCTGACTGGTCGATGGTGAGGTAACTGGGCTGTGAACACTATCAATCCGAGGCGCCCCAAGGTCTAGGGGCCACGTGTTCTGGATCATCAAATAGTTAATTTCTTCGATTTGGTGGCAGTTTCTAGCATCTGAAAAACTCAGGAAATATGCATGAGATACTGTTCTCTGAGTACTTCAGAAAGGAGCTTACAGCAGAGGATATGGGGGAGGGGGCTGTCCTAGGAAGTTCCCAGAAGGTCCTGCTTGGCTACCTTCAGACACTGGGGCTCCACCCCCTTGGTGGTCTGGCAATGGTGTGGGTTAGAAATCACTGGGCCCCATGCCTCATATACACCAATTTAAAATTCAGCTAGCATTTCAGTGAGGTCTACTCTGGACAACTGGGTGACTCAGAGGCCAGAGGACCCCTTGGGAGGGGCTCTGAT